GTGGATCACCAGGCGCTGCGTTCATGAGCGGCTTTGTCGAGGCAACTTCTTTGTGCAACCACTTAAATGTAATAAAAACATTTTTAAATGATTATTGCAGTCTCAAATACATACACTGTAAGTGATGAAAATCAAGTTAGCATTTGGGAGCCTGTTACTCTCTCAGCATTCAAGGGGTTTTGGTGTATCGTGTCTGCATGGTGGTTACTGTGCTTTTCTGCACAGCGCTTCTGGTCCTGAGGCTTAAACTCAGGGTCTGGACACTTGTCCTTGAGCTTTTTTGTTCAAGGCTGGTGCTGTACCACTTGAGCCAAAGCTCTACTTCTGTTTTTTGGTTTTGTTGTTTTGTTTTTGGTGGTCAATTGGAGTTAAGAATCTCATTGACTTTCCTGCCCTGGCTGGCTTCCAACTGTTATCCTCAGACCTCAGTCCCTGAGTAGCTAAGATTACAAGTATAAGCCACTGGTGCCTGGCTTCATATTAGTTTTCAATTAGCCATGATGGGAATATTTACAGTGGAAGATTGGCCTCATTTCCAGTTATCTGGTTGCTAAGTATTTACCAACCCACCACTGACCTTTCAGTGTGGCCAGTAAGTTAGATGGCAGTGCATGTTTAGACCACAGAACTAGTGTCAGCTCGTGGAAGTCAGCTTCAGATCAGAGTCAAGGAGAGTTGAAGGTGAAGAAAAGCAAAAAGACATCAAAGAAGAGAAAGGCCACAATTTTTTCAATGAAAGGAAGTGAATAAGGTTATTTTTAAAACAAGAACATTATGGGGAAGATAAACATGGAGCTAAGGACTCCATCAGTGCCCAGCTCTGCCTCTGTCGAGCGGAAAGTTGCTACTAACCGTAGTGACGCGTCTACTGGCATCATTCCACAGTGTCCTTGTCCCTCTCCTCGCCAGCCACCACGCAGGTGTTAGTAACATGGGAAACGGTTTCATACGAAACAATAAATAGCATAGTGCTTACTTAAAAAAACAGCAAATGTGCGCAGCTAACAATTTCATCAGCCTGACTTAAAGCAGACAAGACCATGACTCATGCCATGCTAAATGCAAAAATGAATATTCGTTGATAGGCTTTCAGCTTTTGGAGATTATGTTCAACAGATTAGCAGTGAGTAACAGTGTATAGAACATCTACAAATTACAAAACAGAGGGGCATGTGGAAATTCCATCACCTTGGATAGCGAGAAATACTCAGGTGAGTTAGTTAGAAACAATGTAAGGCAGTGATTCTCAACTTTAGTCGATATTAGTGTTATCCACAGACTTGTAAAAGCTCACACTGGTAGGCCCCACCCCAGAATACCTGATTCTATACTCTAGGGATGATTTTGACGTTGGCAGTTAAACCATTTTTTAAGCATCACTGATATCAAATATTCCCTAAGTGCTCGTGGTTGGTATGTCTTTGAGAAGGGTAAGGCCACTAGAGAGCAGAATGTTCAGGAAAGACTGATTTAAAGAGGTCACTGAAAAAGGAAACAAATACATGAATATGTAGAAGTGATGGAGGAAAGTCAAACAAGTGGAAGAAAATGCTAGCCTGTGTACTATGAGCTGGAATTAATGAGTACCCAGGTGCATATTAGAGGAGAAATGGACTGATGTGTATTTGGTTTGGGCTATAAATAATATATTTGTGTAGGGTCAAGATGGTAAATTCTGAATGCCATGAGATTTTTGTGGAAAAAAAGTACGAGATGATAAAGCCATTTATATTGATTTTCATCTTCTTTGTTCAACTCAGTTTGAAAATTGAAAAAAAAAGTAAGGCTTATACATCGTTTTAGCTCTATAGAAAGTGCAAAACACAGTTTTAGTTGTGAAAACACTGAGCAATATCAGAATATAATTGTGTGGTGCTGAGGGACAGAAGCTACACTTACTTCATTTATAACTGGTGCCATGCTGGCGATTTTCTGAAGGCTCAGTTTGCTAACTTCAGGGTTGGAATCATTAACCCAGTCTCTGAAGAGAACCAAAAATTCTTCTGGGAATGGGTCCTTGAAGAAGTTATTCAGAAGCTGAAAGGAAACAGTTAGTAAGTTAATGAGAGGAGTCGGATCTTCGTGGCATGATTTCTGCTTGTTCTAAAAGTGAAGACATGTAACTTGAGAGGGGTGGGGTGGGCTAAGATGGAATGGTGGAAGGTGGCAAGATGCATTCTACTCAGAGATGGATGGTTTAGTTGAAATTTCTTGTACAACTACTTCATTGTAGTCAGATTGGAGGGTTTCTTGACATGAAGGTCTCAGGTTACCTGAGGTCTCAGGTTACTAAAAGCATATCACTTAGGGCCTTGGACCTAAAGTAGGAGGCATGTCTGCTACATTTATTTTCAAAGTTTCCAGGCTAACTGCGATTACCCACTGTCAGATACTCTACCACCTGGAAATATCCCTAAGGGTCTAAGATAAATGGCGAAGTTTTTTTTTTTTGCCTATTCATTTCTATCTGGGTCCAGCAGAGAGACTCCAGCCATCTGGTTTGTAGCAGAATTAACCACAACGCTTTGTGAATTCCCTCCCTAGCTCCACCCACATTGAAGAGCAGAAAACACTTCCAAGTGCATTTTATGAGACACCATTGCATTCATGCCAAAGCTAGAGAAGGACACTGAGAGAAGAGAAAAACCGTAGGCCTACATCTTTAACAAACATACACGCAAAACCTTTAAAATACATCCTAGCTAACAAAACTGAGCAGTCTACTGAGAGACCAGGCTCCATGTGCCTGGCAGACAAGGATGGCGCAACCTGTGAAAACGTAAAAGACAGATGCATCTTGCGACCAGAATGAGGACTAGAGACAGGGTCACTTCCAAAGTGTGAAAATAACGACAAAATCAGCATTCTTCATGTCCACGACTCTCAGGCTACCTGGAAGGACATGCCTCGCTCTACGGCCATTCCACGCTCAGTGATGAACTCCTGAAAGCTTTGACCCTAAGATCAGGAACGACCATTCCCACTGTTCCATTCAGCACTTTCATTACAGAGAGCTGCAAACCCTCGACAAAGCGTATAGACAAGAAAAAAAAAGTATCAGGCATCTCAATCAGAGCAGAAAAGGTAAAATTTTCTCTGTTTGCAGATGACATGAACATATCTATCAAAAAACCCTGAAGAATTCATTAAAAAGGCTACTGAAAAACAAACAAGTTGTAGGTTATACGATTAACACACAACAACCAGTTTCATTTCTATATACACAATAAAGTATCCTAAAAAGATCAGGAAAACAATCTCATTTACAATAGGGACTGCAAAGTAAAATAATAAGGTAAAAACTTAGCCAAGGTAGTGAAACAATTGTATTGAAAACTATCAATTGTTGATGAATGAGTTTGAAGAAGGCATATATGAATGGAAGTATATCCTCTGTTCATGGATTAGAAGAATTTTCAATATTGAAATGTCTACAGTAGCCAAAGTTGAGTACAGATTCAGGATAATATATAGAATCAATATTCTAATGGCATTTTTGCAGAATGGAAAAACATCCAAAACATTCACATAGATCTACAAATGGTTCTGAATAATCAAAGCAATGTTGTGAAAGAAGAATATATCTGAGACCTATTTTTGTCAGTTGTGGGGCTTGAACTCAGGGCTGGTCACTGTCCCTGTGCTCTTCAGCTCAAAGCTAGCACTCTATCACTTGAGCCACAGCACCACTTCCAGTTTTCTGGCAGTTAATTGGAGATAAGAGTCTTCAGGACCTTCCTGCCCAGGCTGACTTTGAACTGAGGTCCTCAGATCTCAGCCTCCTGAGTAGCTAGGATTACAGATGTGAGCCACTAGAGCTGGAAACTATGACCTTTTCTAATTTAAAAAAACCTACTAAAATGACAGTGTCAAAACAGTATGGTGCTGACATGTAAACAAACAGAAAGATGAATAAAACAAGAACAGAAAGCCCAGAAATGAAGCTACCTATCTATGGCCCACTAGCAAGATTACGCGTGGAGAAAAGATAAATAAAAATGTCATTAAATGGGAAAAGCAGGACATCCACATGCAAAGAATGAAATTGGATCCTTACTTTGCTCCATATACAAAATAAAGTCAAAAGAGATTAAATATAAGATTTGATTGTATAAAATTCCTAGAAGAAAACAGGGAAAACACTCCCTTAAATTGATCTTGCCATAGATTTTTATTTTATTTTTTTTAGTATATGACATCAAGAACTCAAGCAGCCAAAGCAAAAGCTTATCCCAGGCTGGCCTTGAATCACAATCCTCCAATCCCAGCCTCCCAAGTAGCTAGGATTTTTCCAGGCATGAAGAACAGTTGTCCAACTGATCACTTGTATTTTTGGTATGCAAAAGGATTTCCTCAGTTCATTTGACTCTAAGTTATATGACTCCACGCTTTCATTTTTAGTTACCTGGGAAATTCCTTTTTGTTCTTGTATGGATGGATGGATGTGATTATATGTGTTTATTTAATCTTTTGGTAGTTGTACAAAGAGGTTTCTATTCAACATGGCTCCTTACGAGGGCAGTGCATCTTGATGAATTCGGCTTTTCATCATTGCTCATCTATCCCACCTGACCCTCAAGCTAACTGGTTCCATTTTTACACATGCACAGTGAATATTATACCTGCATTTACCCAGGAGGGAAATTTCTTTTTATTCTCCACGCTAATGTGATGTATCTTCTAGATCCCAGATGCACTGCTATTTTTGGCAAACTCAATTATCCTAGATGTTTTAATGAGCATACAGAAACATATGAACTGGTACTATAAAAATAATTTATATTTCTGCAAAGTTATACTTTGCTCCCAGAAAGCAAATGGGGCAAACAGCCATAATCCAGCTGTTTCTCACCTCCAGCCTTTGCCTCAATCTCAGATAGCTTTAATGCTCTTTAAATTCTCTTGGTGAGAACAAATAGGAGAGGGCAGGGGAAGAGGGAGAGAGGAGAGAGTACAGGGTAGAGTTCGATTAAGTAAGAAAATGTTGTTCACATTTTCCCATTAAAACTTACTTCAGTGAGGAATATTATTGTGATGATACTGTCTTCTGACCTTCTAGGACCTTCCACTGAGGTCTTGTAGAGATAATGTAAGGTCTCCGGAAACTGTGGGAAATTATGTTCACTGAGAGTTCTATGGAAACAAAGCACAGGATTAGCAAGACTGAGGTATGTTCTGCATCAGCAAATACCGATAGTGATAAAGAGACCTCATTAGCCTCCTACTTGCTCCTGCCCCAATTAAAAAGAAACGCTGTTCTCTACTATTCCCTGATCTGTACTTCCCTGAAGCCCACTGTGATTTCTAGACACACGCTGGGGAATTAGATATGATCGCGTCTTCCTGCAGTATTTCTTTTCTTAATGTTACCCCTCTTTCTTGTCTTTCTCATCCTTTGCTATACGACGAAAGGCCTGTCCTAAGATTCCATCAGCACTTGACTAAAAGGAGAAGAAATAAGTATCTTAAATATTCCAAACTCACTGCAAGACACTGTGAAGATCATGAGTCATCTTTGTGGTTTTACATCAAGTTTGTCCTTTTCTTTTTCTAGTACAGGGGATTAAATTTAGGGCCTTCTACTTGCCATTGAAGAACTCTACCACTTGAACCACACCTCCTGCCCCAAGCTCTTTCTATGAATAGTATAGTGAAGAAGAGAGTTTGGGACTGTAAGGGTAGGTCAGGACAAGAGACAGTGACTCTGATTCACAAAGCCATTTCAAACCCTCAGGGAGGGGACGTGTTTCACATCTGTTCTGTTGATGGGCCTACATCAGGCTGGGTTGTTGGAGGTGGAGTTGGGAAGGATGGAACAACAAAGTTTCCATTTTAAGACTCCAGGTTGCTCTTCTAAAACCATCGTGTGCATAATGAATCATACGGACCATATGGGGAACTTGATAATAGATTCTGAATTTTTACTTCTAAGGTGATATAGTAGTTTTCTTGGTCTTTTGAGAAAGAATACCCAAAAGTACAAAAAGCTTCTTGCAGGACAAATACATACCCCAAAATTTAAATAGTAAGAGGTATTCTTGCAATGTGTGTAAAGTAAGATGTCACTTGTAAAAGGAGCAAGAACCTGTGGGCTAGAAAGGCAGCACTTCGTGGGTCAGTCACAACTTCAAGTTGTCCGTCGTATTGCCAAGGCCCTATATCTTGATTTTTGATCAGAAAAAAAAATCTGATCCTATAGTCAGAACTTTGGTATTCACTAAAAGGATAACTAAAAAACTATCTTTTCAATATAAGGAAAAGGAAAGCTCTCTTCCAGAATGCTTTCCAACATTACCCTCTTACAGCAAGAGCATGCCAGTGGCTCATGGCTGTCATCTTAGCTACTCAGGAGGCTGAGATCTGAGGACTGTGGTTCAAAACCAGCCCGACCAAGAAAGTCTGTGACACTCTTACATCTGACTAAACACAGAAAAAGCTGCAAGTGGCACTGTGGCTCAAGTGGTACTCTTGGGCAAAAGGAGCCCAAGTAGTCTTGAGCAAAAGGGGCCCAGGGACAGAACCCAGGCCCAGAGTTCAAGCCCCAGGACAGGCAAAAAAAAAAAAAAGCAAAAAGCAAGAGAACATCTAGAAATGTTGGATATCAGCAGATTAGAAATCTTCTTACATCAGAGGAGAAAACCACAAAACAGATTTACTATTAGTGTTTTGGGTCTGGAAGAGAACCCTGTTCTATGGAGGTTGAGTAGCTGAATATCTACATCAGCAGGTGACAAGAAAGGGCAACTTATCCCAAAACAAAGCACTTTAAAATGATTAAGAAATAGAAATCAAGTGGGAATCAGATCATTAAGGTGTTTACAAGTTGGCATCGATGCTGACGTGGTTCCCACAAAGCCCGCTTGAAGATAGGATAGAGACCAGGAGAGTTGCACAGAGCCCCGTCTTACTTGGCAATGAGGTAGACCCCATGATTGTGAAACAGTACTTGGGAAAACTGGTTCCAGCAATTCTTTTTCTTGAGAGCAAGATCCACTTCCTGCAGTCCAGAACAATTCAGCAAAACTCGCAGGGCATCCCGGGCAAAGCTGAGGCCCCAGAGAGGAAGAAGCATCAGGAGACTGTGAACTTTACCTAGCAAGTACACATCACCTGCCTTTTCATACCATTTTGGACAGGATGGAGTTTTAGAGAAACATATTTCAGAGACTTGATCCTGTCAAGCGTTTTGTTTAATTTCCCTTGATGAATAGCATATGGGATATGAAGTTGGAGTATAGGGAATAAAATTTAGGGTTAATCATTTAACAGCTAACTAGTTAGCTTGTTTGCAAGAGATGCCTCTGCCATGCGATGGGGTGCTCAAAGCGTCAGTTTTCTTGGGTGGATGCCATAGATCAGTAAGACAGTTCTTACTGATTGGGCAGCAATTTGGTGGATGTCTGCTTAAAGGACAGGGAGTTGATGTGCATTGTAATAGAACTTTATGCTTCAGACCTCTGCACCGGGCTTAGTCACTCCAGAGTAGGCTCACATTTTGACTGAGGTTTTTCTTCTACTCTTGTGGGCCAGAGGAAATGACTAAAGCTTGCTCTGTGCAGACAGAGGACTTAGGTCCATGGGTCCTCACAAATCACCTTCTCAACTGTGAAACAGCTTTCTAGTTCACAACACACCTTTATGCACCACTTAATTGCATGTGTGTAAAGCTCTGGGAGGTCGCTGTCAGAGAAGTAAATGACAGAGCCTGAATGTGTCTGGCTTTAGCTCCAGGCTCTCTCCCCTCTCTCAATGGTCTGTCGTGAGTGTCGTGTTCCAAGGTTCTTTCTATGATGCACAAAGCCCTTAGGGAAGGTGCCAATGGGCAGGCACACGGGAAACTTATTTTTCTGATGACGTTCTACCCTTTAGAGGGAAGAAAGACGGTATAGTCCACGAATGCACAGTGCAGAGGAAGGGTAAAGAATCCCACGGGAAGGAGGGGGAGTGGCTGGCTGTGTATCTCTCACGCAATCGGAAGTAAGCAGCACTTGCTCACAGAGGTCTGTCCTGCGGCAGCACTCGGAGCTGGCTGGTGTAGAACAGCTGGAGCATGAGGGCCATCAGCAGCTGGGGGAAAAACTGGGCCACTGCTTTCTTGTAAGACCCCACAGGCAGGAACGTGCACAGGGCCTGGGACGCCTACAAGGCAAGGGAAAGGGAATTGAGAAGGTCACCATCTCCCTATGCAGACCTAATCTTCAGAAGGGCAAGACCTCAAGCATTGCTCCCTCCTGGCCCTCAGCGGGGAAGGGGGCCTGAGCTCCTCACAAAATCACTCACTCAATGACAGCTGCTGTGGTAGTCAGGAGCGAGTGACTGTGGCAAGTACTCTTTACTAAGGGGCTTCCAAAGCACACTAGTAGCCCTTGTTCTTCTAGCCAACCCAGCACCCCAAGGTTTCCTGGCCATGAGGAATTGTTGTACTTGTCACCCACGTTTTCTCTGTACTTGCACCCAGGAAGGTAGGATAGTGAAAGGGAGGAGGGCCAGGTCATTCAACGATCATTTGACCTACACCCCACACCCCCTGCGATTCCCAAGACCTCACCCTTATGAAGAAGTACCATTTCCCCCCTGTTCTTCTTCTAAAAGACCAGGATTTATTCTGGTCACGGAAAGTCAACGATGATGGAGATGGGAGAGATTAGGCCCTAGCTTAACTACAAGCGTCTGCATGCTGGGCGGGCTGTTGGCTTCCGCTCTAGTGTCATCTCCCACATTTCGCTCTTGCTCTGCGTTCACTGGCCCCCCGGGAAGCTTTCCTCTCTGCAGAAATGTCGCCTCTTCTGTCTCCCAAGGCCGATGTCGGCCCCCTCCCCCTCACACGGCCGCAGCTTTGGAACAGAGCACCCGCGTCCATGCTGGCTGCCTTGGCCCAGCTCCCCAAGGCGTCCCTGTAACTTGGCGTCTGCCCTACAACACACTTGTTTGTTCCTGGGCTTTGCGCAGCGCGTGAGCACTGGGATCAGGGCCGAGCCCCCGTCACCCTGGGCTGGGCGCGTGTCAGTCCGTCGGACTGAGTCTGCACAGCAACAAACTCCATGGCCCAGGAGACAACTGAGCAGAAGGGCCCCTCGCGTGGGTTACCGCCACGGGCATCATGTTGGTGGCATCGAGGGAGAAGCGTCTTCTTTCCATCTGGGTCTCCTCCATCTCCCCAGGCTTCCCTTTGAGGATCAGCAGGATGGTGCTGAGCACGTCGGGGGCGACGCTGGACTCGTAGCCGGCCGCTTCCCACATCAGGATCACCGTGCTGCGGACACAGAGGCCGCGCCTTAGGGGAGCCGCATTCGCGCTCCCTGAGGGGGCCGCGCCTGAAAGACAGCGTTAAAGAGCCCAACACAAATCAAGGTTCACTCTCCAAACGGTCCCTGCAAGCCAGGGATTTGAACAGCGTCGTGCACAGCACACAGTCTGCACGTTCATTTCCTACTGCAACTGAAATCTCTCTCCAGCTCAGTGTCCAGGACCGACCAATTCTCTGCACCCTCTACTCTCTACTTCTCCACTCAGTGACCTTGTTAGCACGGGAATAGTAACAATTAAAGATTATACAAGTCAATATGCAGATAAAATTTTAATCCCTAAATAAATAAAATCATGAACAAAAAATTCTGAGCTCAAATGCATGAAATAGTTTGCCAGATGTCACATGTGTCTATCACCTATGTATGTATGGATGTATCTGTCTGTCTATCATCTATCTGCCTGCCTACCTGCCTACCTATCTACCCACACACCCAGCTCTGTTTCTCTCTTGTCTGTTCACTCATCAATCCATGTACCCACTTGACAGTACTGAGGAGTGAACTCAGGGCCCATGCTTGCTAGGAAGATATTTTAACAGTTGAGCCATTCTCCCAGTATTTCCACTTTTAGATCATTTCTCTGTCTGGTCCCTAGAAGTCCAGTGCATGCCACCTCACATGGCTGAGTCCTTCCCTCTTGACTTTGAATGTTCTTCTTTCCTTTCCATACTTTCCCTCCTGATTATCCTTACTTACTGCCATCTACCTGAACAACCATTGCACATCTCTAGGTCAATATACTGCTGATACTCTGTCCAGCTTGCTTGGCTCCGATGTCTATTGCTTGGACTTCCCTCAAAAAATAGATAAGCCAATGCTGTGGAACCTGTGACTGAACTGTTCTTATTGGCAGGGCTCCCTAGGACCTTGTGGGCATCCACACTCACATGCCAGCTTGCATTTTCTTACCTGATATTGGTGCCTTCTTGTTGACCAGATGGTTTCCTGTTTCTCTAACTTTAACCTAACTCCAGATCCTGACATTTTCCATCCCACATCTGTAAGGCCCATTAGAAACTTCTTTACATTGTTAACTCTAAATGTGTCTTTATTCTCTACCTCCACAGCACATACTGTTTCTACTATTTTTTTTATCATATGTCTATATGAGTATATTTCTTCCAAAAATGACAACCACCACAAAATCGAGGGCCATAATACTTTACATGATTGAATGAGAAAACACTTGAGTCTCATGAAGTTCTTTTAAAATTCTTTGTGAGTTTGAACTTCCCCTTAACAGTTTTTCAGATAGAAAAGGAAGTTACATAAATTGTTTAGAACTTCGTTGATTTCACAAGCAGTAGTAACTTTCAGAAGCAGTAGTAACTCATTAGGTGTATGACAGCTTAATAAGTAAAAGAATATGTTCCTATTTTACAGATAAGGAAATTAAGCATCAGGGATTTTTAATCAAAAACTTGCCTCATGTTACAGAGATTGTAAGGGTCAAGGTTGGAACATTGTTTTGATTTGAAAGGCTGTTCACTTATACTGAACTTTGTAGTATTGATGTGACCCCTTCCTTTCCAATGTACAAGCTCGAAGTGGAGTACTGTGGTTTTTCTAAGCTCTGACAGTGTGCCCATTAAAGCCCTGCTGGCCAACAGGCACACGTTAGTATTTCTTCTTAATTATATATTTTTTGTTGGTCATGGGGCTTGAACTCTGGGCCTGGGTTCTGTCCCTGAGCTCTTCAGCTCAAGGTGAATGCTCTACTGCTTGAGCCACAGCGCCACTTCTGGTTTTCTGGTGGTTAACTGGAGATCAGAGTCTCACGGACTTTCCTGCCCGGGCTGGCTTTGAACTATGATCCTCAGATCTCAGCCTCCTGAGAAGCTAAGATTACAAGTGTAAACCATGGTTGCCCAGCCTTAAGTATTTCTTTTGATCGTGGATTATGGGCTTCTGATTGGCAGGGAAAAGGAGACTCCCAATTATATGTACCACTTTTTCAAATATTTATTTTATTGTTAAAATACTGTATCTCTCCTCCCTAAATAAGAAAAAAAGAAAACATTCTATGTTTGATTTTTTCTCCTCAAGAAAAATGAGTAAATTTACAAATGGACAAGAAAAAAAGAATCCATTATCACTTTGAAGAGAGTTTGTTCTTTAGGATAGGTAACAAACCCGGTTATATAATAGCAACACATCAGTACTTTTGGGGTCAAGCATGGCATGGAGATATGAATGGGGTCTTATTTAGCCTTACAGTTATGCTACTGGATACAAAATAGATCTCTTTCAGAAGATGTGAATCAGGCCTGAGTGTGACAGGTGAAGGTCCGAGCCCCTGTCGTCTGCGGTGGTGCCTGTGAACGGACCTGTGCAAGGGCAGGATTGGGGAGCCTTACTTGTCTGCTGGGAGCGGGTAGTCCATGAGTTGAAAGATGACTTTCTTGGGTGACGTGCGGGTCAGCAAGGTGATAACCCGCAGGAGAGCATGCTTCATGGTGTGGGAAAAGTTGTTACTGATTTGCTGATAAATGTCATCCACAATCTTAGATACCTGGAGGAGAAATTCCACAGGTCAGCCAGAGTCTCATGTCACCCTTAAACGGAAGCATTTCTTGAAGGTGAGACTTCAGTCTCTCTTAGAATAACCAAAGGAGCAATTAATACAAATAAATACTAGCAGAAATTATATTTACATGTACCACAAAATACAAAATATTTATTTAGATAAGGAATAGAGTCATGTATTAATAGATACTGGTAAAATTCCCATTTACAATGTGTTTTGGGAAGCTAAATTTCCTTAAATACTTATAAGCTTAATTAAGGAAAACCTGCTTGCAATCGGATCTTTAAAGAGGAGTCCAAACAATTGAGCAAAATAACAGTGGAAGCATTTGCTTCAACTTAAAAAAATTAAATAGTTGAATCTGTAGATTAAAAGAATCTATATAGGGCTGGGAAGGTGGCTCAGTGGTAGAGCGCTTGCCTTGCATGCCTGAGGCCCTGGGTTCGATTCCTCAGCACCACATAAGCAAAAAGCCAGAAGTGGTGCAGTGGCTCAAGTGGTAGAGCACTAGCCTTGAGCTGAAGAGCTGAGGGACAGTGCCCAAGCCCAGAGTTCAGGCCCCATGACCTGACCCCCCCCAAAAAAAGAATCTATATATTAAAAACTATAAGAGGAATAACCCAGAATGTATAGACTGAGCCAAAAATCTTAATGATTCATACATATTATGTTATATTATTTTCCTTTTTATTCTTTCTTGAACAAGGAAAGTTCTATCTAGACTTGGAATTTATGTTAAATCAATGATACAACAGAAACAAAAAGAAAAGCTGTGTTAAATAGCCAAGATCTTCCTGTACCAGTTGTTCCCCAAGATAAACTCAAAAGGAGGTATTAAGCTGTTGTTGTTCTTTATGGGCTGTTCACTCTGGGGACTGGGGCTGCTTTGTGCAGTGGCCTTTCTGTGGAAAAGCAGCACACCTCTACTACAAGCCAGAAGGGCTGCTAGGAGTTCAGCAGTAAGAATGGCAATCTCTTACTTCCCAAGGGCCTGACGTACTACATATACAGTGTAGAGGATTTTCAGGGCTATTTTTAACAGTGCACAGTGTTTTTCAAAATAATTGGCTTTAGACTCTAGTATTCTTTGAGGGAGGAATGACTGTAATTGTTTGTGGGGTGTTGGGTGAGGCGTGGTTTAAATGGACACATGCCACTTCTTGTTCCGTTTCTGTGTGGTTAGCGACGGACCGTAACGTAGTTGTGTGTATCTGTCTTCCCTGTTTGGCCTTTTCTTCTTCTCTAAGGCATCATCTTGTATTCCTCTGAGTGCCTTTTCCTGTTGGGTCAGAGGAGAATTCCGCTTAGCCGGAGATGACTGCGGACTTCGTGTTTCCCCCTCTGGTTGTGTTTGCCCTACTGAGTGTTGCTGTCTGTGGCAGCATTGAGAATCTGCAGTGAGGTGTCACATCTCCTTTCCTGCTTTTCATGGGAAGTAAGCTCTCCGCTTACTTTTAGCCATAATTCACAGCTGGGTCAGGAGATGGACTGAGCAGTCAGCTCTAGGCCGCCACCAAGGCTGCATTCATGGGCTTGGGCCTTAGACCTTAGGCAGTCATAGGCTAGGGATTGCGGGCCTAGTCCCTGAACGAAGGATGAATTCCACCCCTTTGCTGTGGTCTCTTCTGTCCTGAGATGAAGAAAGCCCTTGCTGGGTGTAGACCTCTTGATCTTGAATTTCACAGCCTCCGGACTATAAGAAACGAACCTCCAAGAGCGCGCAGGTATTCTAGTGTAGCGACACAAAAACAGACTAAGAGACCCACCCTTTCCATCTTTCCTTACTCACCATTAAGCTGAAGGTAAATAATGCTTATTAGTAGATTATGTGAAAGTTAGGAAGTGAAATAGAAGACAATTGAGGTAGTTTTGTGTGTTTCTGTTCCTCTAGGTAGAATGAAGTGTGTGTGTGTGTGTGTGTGTGTGTATTCATGTATAAGTTATAAAATACAAATTGCATTATTTTGATGATCTATCATATGAGTTAAATATCATTGTATTTATACTTACAACTAGAATATGACCAGCCAGATGTGTGATAATTATAATTTTTCAATTGTCTCTATTTATAAAGACATTAATAACAAATAAGCACACAAGGAGTAATTGAGAATGAGAGACTAGAGAGAAAAGGTACAAAAAGCTTCATAAGCATACTTTGCCTTTTTTATATTTCATTTTTGCACTGGCCTCACAAATTATGTAGTTAGCCCTGCATCAAACTAAGTGTTGTTGAAAATGTTCCTTAATTGCTATACAGGGGATTTCAATCACAACTGTGCTTTCTTAGGGTTATCTTTAAAAAAAAAAGAAAGAAAAAGCAAAGCAAGTATGGCACAATGTTGTGAGAGGTCAACTTTTCTCTATGCTGGAGCTATCCTGCCAGAGCCTTACTGCAGTGACATAACAAAGAAAGGCAAGAAATGGACACATAGCAAAACACTTCAGAGAGAAGAGGGGGCCTCATTGTGCAGTGCGTGTCTCACCTTAGTGACCTTCTGGGCGTGAGACTCCAGCGTTAGCTTCAGGATGGCTGCCGCCTCAAATGCAGTCACATGACTACGTGAAGACAGTTTCTCCAGGAGACTCCACACGAAGTCAGTCAGCAAGGAAGGCATTAAGTACTGTCCTACACTCTGAAACCGAGAGAGATATGGCCTCAGGTCTCATACACCAGCATAAAAGGGACAACAGCTGAACTTTGGGAGGGATGCAAGGGTACACAAATGTATTAACTGGGAGGGAGAGTCAAGGGAGAAATGAAATAATGCAGTTCCTTAGAAAGTCCAAGTTTGACTAAACAAACACCAGGAAGCAGGTAGAGCAGTCACAGGGGTGGAGTGGGGTCAAGGTGAGAGGAGCAGATGAATGGAGAAGAGAAAGGGGAAGGGAAGGCAGTCAAGACTTCAGTGTACATCCTACCAAACTAAGCAAAGCCAGGGGAGGGGTAGGTTGAGAGGCACGGGCTGGAATGTTGGGAGGGGTGATATTGAGTAAGATGCATTGCATACATAAACTGCTTTGTTTAATGGAAACTCCTTTGTGCGGCTGAAGATAATAAAATAATAATTAAAAAAAGACAACTAAACTCAGACCATGTAGGGGATGCTCAGGAGCCAAGCAAGAACACTAGATTTTCATGAACCATAGTTCATAAAGTCCTTTCAGCGATTAAAAGCAATTAAAAATACTTAAAACGACGTCTGTAATCCTAGATTGATATGTTTAGTATTTCTTCCAACTTTAAAACAACTTTGCTGTCAAGAATTATTATGAACATCTTCAGCTTTTGTAAGTGAGTTTGTTCAGATCAAAAGTAAGTATGGCTATTGGAAGATTCAGGGGTGGTGGGAGAGAAAGCCAAGGGAGTTAAGGATGTGAACTTTTTCTTAGCGGGAGATGAAAAAGCAGGAGGGAAGGGAATTCTATATTTCATGACCAGGATGTAGAGCTGCAGGGAGAAGAAAGCCTTTTTAAAGTCTGAGGAGTAGTCATGCATCATAAAATGTGAACACATATAATTATGAAGCTAGAAGAGATGAATGAGCCACATTTCTTCTTTTGTCTTCATAAGAAAAACATTATCTTTCCATGAAGAGATGATACCCAAGGTAATTAATAAAAGCTTTTCTGCATGTTCTTTAAAGGAACGGAGTAGATTGAAGATGATAGTTTTCTTGAGGAAAGTTAGCTTTAAGAAAATAAAAATTTAAATATCATATAATTGGGAGAGGAGAACACTCTCTTTTGGATAATCGTTGACTCAACAAAATTTCTACTCTAATGTCTGTCTGATAATTGAAGAAGCAATTATTGGTAGAACGGCTAACACAAGAAGATTCTATCATGTGAGGCTATATATGTGACAATCGTATCAATGAAAATTGTATCAAAGGGTAGTTTGCTTCATCAGCTATGGTCTATAATATAGCTTTCCGGAAGCAAGTTTCTATGTCTGATTAACAATGAATTCAGATGAGAGAGAAAACCAAGAGGAGAATAAGCCTCATGAAACACTGGAAAAGGCCAGTTCATGTTGGATACATAGCTTCACTACATGCTCAGCCTTCCACAATCCAACCACTTCGGTCATGGGGGAGGAAGCACTGCCTTTATGTGTGCAGTTTGGTGGAGGAAGCCCTGGGCCTTCCCACCGTGAGGGACCAGGAGGCCCTGGGTGCCACCCTCACGTTTTGTGAGCTACTGGCTTCCACATGGAGGACTAGGAGTCCATCCGCTTGACAGTTCAACCGGGCCTGGCACTAAATAACCTCAAGAGCCTCCGAATCAAACCTAAGTACTTTGAAGAAATGGAGAGGGGATGGAGAGCTATAGAGAGCCTCATGATTCTCCCAAAGATTAGGACAGTATGAAGTCATTTAGTACTCATGCTTATCATGTAAACTTTTTTTTATTAACTAGCTCTTTTAAACAACCCCCCCCCCCCATATCATAATGTCATCCTGACACTATGATAGTATTGGGAAGACTGAAAATGGTTAGCCTTACTGATTTTGCTAGATAATCAGAAATCCTCTCCACTATTCGTTAGGACAGGGTCATGCCCAGTAGCCTAGCCTGGCTTATGACTTGAAACCCTTCTGCCTCCAGTGTCCCAAACACTGAATGACAAGAATGAAGGCTAAGAAACTCCCCATTTTTAGGGAACTATATATGAATTAAACAAAAACAAGTATAACTAGGAAATACCTACCTCATTTATAAGTTACCACCATTAAATGAGATCATAGAAACTGCTCTATGGGTAGCAATAGACTAATTTTACAAATAGGAGTGAAGTCCAGGGACAAGGTATTGTACTTCCCTGTTGCCTCATGAAAATTTTTAACTATACACAAGATACTTAAGAATGTAAGCTTTGCTTAAAATAAGTCACTGCGAAGAGTAATAACATGTATGAAACCGAAACTACGGGGAGAAAAGTAAGGTAAGATACCTGAGCAATTTTAGTTTTAAGTTGATTCATGGTTTGGGGTAGGACTTGCGTATCTAAAGAAAGCAGGAAGTCGTGACTTCCAGGCCCGTCATTCTTGGTACTTTTTGTGGTATTGGTGCCCGCTGTGGAAAGGAAAAGGTTTTCAGGATTATTTGATTACTAGTTTCATCTAGGACAGAGGAAGACTTTGTTCCAGCCTTCACTTGAAAGCTTGAAAAGCCTCAAGGCCATAGTTAATGAAAGACAAGCAAAGACAGCAGAATTGGGACAGATTAGGTAAGCTAAATAGAAAAGATAACTAAACAGGCTACATGAGATTTTGGGATGGAAATCGAGAATTAGTAAAAACTGCTGGTGAGCACTCATAAAGCCAGTGAACCAAAGTAGTTTAGTTTAAAGCATTACATCTCTTGGTAATTATACTAAGGTTCTGTGGGTTTTCAGCTTTAGGAGATGCTGATAAAAGACAAGTAGCTCTTTGAACTATTCTTTTAATTATTCTATAAATATAAAATTATCTCAAAATACAAAATACAAACTGTGTTTCCCCAAAGTCATTTAAGTAGACTATAGGACACTAGTGGTTTGAGCAAGCACAAACATGTCACAACTTTGAAATGTATGATGATATTGAAATTAGTTATCATGATCCTGACAGAAATCCTTTTACTCTCTTACTGTACACTCTTCAAAGCACACCTTGGAACCACTGAGTTAGTAGTTGGTGGCTTTTGTGTCTTGATACTTATTCAGTATCTGGGGACCATTTATCACAGCAAGTTGTTGATGTTTTGCTGCTCATGTTTGTTGATTTTGCATTTTTGTTATCTTTATGTGACAGCATCCATTCTTTTCACAACCATGCATCAATAGCTTCAGAGAAGCCGGGCGCTGGTGGCTCACGCTTGTAATCCTAGCTACTCAGGAGGCTGAGATCTGAGGATCGCAGTTCAAAGCCAGCCCGGGCAGGAGAGACTGTGAGACTTCTATCTCCAATAAACCACCAGAAAACCGGAAGTGGCGCTGTAGCTCAAGTGGTAGAGCGCTCATCTTGAGCTGAAGAACTGAGGGACAGCGCCCAGGCCCAGAGTTCAAGCCCCACGACCGACAAAAAAAAAAAAAGAAATAGCTTCGAGAGTTGTAGGGGTATAAAATTTGAGACAGAAATGTTAATGAATTGGGGCTGGGAAGGTGGTTCAGTGGTAGAGCGCTTGCCTTGCATGCATGAGGCCCTGGGTTTGATTCCTCAGCACCACATAAGCAAAAAGAAAAATAGCCAGAAGTGGCACTGTGGCTCAAGTGGTAGAGCGCTAGCCTTGAGCTGAAGAGCTGAGGGACAGCGCCCAGGCCCAGAGTTCAGGCCCCACGACTGAACCCAAAAAACAAAAAATGTTAATGAATTAGCTCAGAATTGCTAACACAAATGTAAACTGAGAAGAGTAATCCATTAAAAGGAAAAATCACGCGACGCATGTACTATTGAAAAGCTGAATTTTTAACCATTTGTTTGATGGAACTGTAAGGAGGAGCGGCGAGAACTATGGTGCTTGTTCAGTGACATTCCCACAGAGGGTCTCAGGACGTAGTTAGTAAACTGAGGGTATGGATTTAAAAAATTACTACCACAGACTTTGTGTCCAGAAACCTAGACTTAAATGCTAAAGAGCTGTGTAAATTTGGAAAGTAAATTCTAAAAGCCTCAATTTGCTCACTAATAACGCTGAAGTAATGAAATACTTAAATTACAGCAGTGGTAAAGATTCAAATAAACAAAAACAATACTTAGAACAAATACGAAAGTTTCAATAAGCATCTAACAAGAAGAGATATTGTTATTGCTCTCCTTGTTATTGCCACTGCATTATTGTGACAAATTGGAAAAATTACCTGTAACAAGGTGCATTAAGTGAAAAAATTTTAAATGCAAAAAAGAATTTTGTTTGTTCAGTAGCTAAATAAAAACATAATTTACCCATAATATTGTAAGTAGACAAGTTAGTGAATTTTTGTGTATGTATACATGCATGGACATATTACCCGAGTAAAAAATGAACATATGTATTGCTCAAAACTTCCCCATCTTTTTTAACCTCTCAAACTTGCTCTACTTGTCTCCGAGGTGCTATTGACCTACTTCCCATATTTCCTTTCTGTCAAATTTGAGTCTTCTTATTTTATTTAAATTAAAAAGCATATACTCTTTTGAATGAGACTTTGGTCTGCAGAGCTACTGCGATGATATAAACATCATCATATATAAGTTTTCATATGGAGATTTTTTCTTAGGTAGATAGCAACTTCTACAATGATTAGATCATGTTGGTTAATATTTAAACTTTTAGGATACTGCCAGATTAAATTCCCTGAGCAATGTCAAAGTATTGGAGTTCCAGTTGCTCTACATCTTTAACAACACATTTTGTGGTCATTTGTTTCAATTTTAGGCATTTTAATGCGTTTGTATTGGTATCTCATTGCAGTTTTAATTTACATTTCTTTTTTTCTTTTTTGGTTGGTCGTGGGGCTTGAACTCTGGGCCCGGGGGCTGTCCCTCAGCTCTTCAGCTCAAGGTGAGCGCTCTACTACTTGAGCTACAGTGCCACTTCCAGTTTTCTAATGGTTTAGTGGAGATAGGAGTCTCACGGTCTTTCCTGCCCAGGCTGGCTTTGAACTGTGATCCTCAGATCTCAGCCTCCTGAGTAGCTAGGATTACAGGTGTGAGCCACCGGCGCCCGGCTTAATTTACATTTCTTTAATGATTATATATGAACATCATTTGGTGTACTTTGTAAAATAACTATTCACATTTATTTTAACTCTATTTTGGTAGTCTATTCTCTTACTGAGTTTTACATGTCCTCTGCAAATTAGAGGTATGAGACTTTCATCAGATATGTAATTAGCAAGTATTTTCTCCTAGTGTATGGCTTAGCTATTAACGGCACCTTCCAAAATAGCAGAAAGATTTATCTTTTTAAATTTGTGTTACTATTGTATCTAAGAAATCTTTTCCTTACGCAAAGCCCAATCCTAAAGATTTTTTTTCTAGGTTCAGTTTACATTTAGTTTTATGTTATTTTGAATTAACTTCTTAAATGTATTTTAAAATATGAGATTTAAAAATATACCCCATAAATAAAATATTTCTGAGATGCAATATGGAATTTCAACACAGGGTACAGTGCTTCAGGTAACTGGCAGTTTAGTCCCTCAGGCATTCATCATCTCTTGTATAAGAACTTTCAAAATGGGCTGTTCTAGGTATTTTCAATTACTCATTAATTGTCGGCCATTGTTCTCCTACTCTGAAAAAGCACATTAGGAGATATTGTTAGTGCATTCTGTATCCATTAACCTTTTGGTCTCTATGTTCCTACCACCCTTTGTCAGCTTTGGTAACTACTGTTCTATTGAGTGAAAATTTGTAGTATATTAAGTATGGATCAAAGCGATTTTTTGCTTTTATGCTGAAATTAAATTGAATTTTGACAAAGGCATCTTCTGCACTATTTGAGAGGATTGTGTGGTTTTTCTCCTTGATGTGTTGTTTTTATGTGTTGAAGCTTCTATGGATCCCTGTAATGAAACCAATTTTCTCATGACATTTGACCTATTTTATGTGTTGTTTAATTAGGTTTACAAGTCTTTTGTGGATTCTTTTGGCTCTATGTTCATCAAAGATACTGTTTTACAATTTTTTCCTATTTGTTTTGTGCTTATCCAGTTGTGATATAAGCATAATGCTAGCTTCCTAGAATTAACTTGGTAGTATGTTGACTGTACATTTGTCATAGACAGTCTTTGTTATATTAAGGAATGTTCCATGTATTTCTAGATTCTCCAGAGCTTTTATCATAAATGGATGTTGGATCTTGTCAAAAGCTTTTTCTGCATTTATTGAGATGATTGTGTGGTTGTCCTTGCTTCTGTTGATGTGTTGAATTACTTACGTGTTGAGTTACATATGTGTTGAATTACATGTGTTGAACCAGCTTTGTATCTCTGGGATGCATCCTGTCTGACCATAGTGTATGATAGTTTTGGTTAGTTGTTGAATTTGGTTGGCCAGGATTCTGATGAGAAGCTTTGAATCTATGTTCATCAAAGAGATAGACTGCAGTTATTTTTTGAGTCCCTATCTGGCTTGGGGGTGAGTGTGATACTAGCATCCTAGAATGATTTTAGGGGTGATACCCCTTTCTGTTTCATTGAGGAGTTGGTGTGCATTCTCCTTTGAAAGCCTTTTACAATGTGGCTGTAAATCCATCCGTCCTGAGTTTTCCTTGGATGGGAGATCTTGTATTACCATTTCAGTTTCACTGCTCCTTATGCATCCATTTCTGCCAGATTCTCCAATTTACTGGCACAAAGGTTTATAAAATGTTCCCTCACAAAATTCTGAACTTTGCTGTTTCTGTTGTGATTTTCCCTTTTTCATCTCTTATTTATTCAGGTGATTTCTTTTCTTCTCTTGATTAGGTTTTCTAAGGCCTGTCCATTTTGTTACATTTTTCACAGAACCAACCGTTTATTTTGTTGGTTTTTAGTTTTTAGTGTCTTAATTAATTTTTGATCTAATTTTTTTATTGTGAAAATAATGCACAGAGGGGTTACAATTACATGGGCAAGGTAATGAGTACATTTCTTATCAAGCATTGCAGCCTCCTCCTTTGTTTCCCCTTCCCATCCCTTCCGATCTCCCCCCACACCATTCCCCCTCCCCGCCACTGGCCAAAGTTGTGAAGTTCGTTTTTTGACATAAGGACTTGTACATCTCATTGTTGCAATGGGTCCACCTGTATCCCCATTTAAACAACTTTTTTCCCTTCTTCTCCACAAATTATATTAACATCAAATATAGTGAAAACAGGGGTTATACAGTGGGGGAGGGACATACAAAGCAACAAAGAAATCATCTTATAAATATGTTAGAAACAATCACAAGAAAGAAAAAAAATTTGAATACTTATCTTGGGGTTCATTTTTCCTAACATCAACTTATCTGACCATTTCTACTTGTCTCAGACATACACTAGTTATTGCAAATAAGGGAAACCATGGGATCTATGTTTCTTGGGCCTGGCTTACTTCACTTAATATAATTTCCTAACAAATGGGGCAATGTTATTCTTTCTGATGGAGGCATAGAATTCCATTGTGTATATATACCACATTTTCTTGATCCACTCATCTACTGAGGGGCATCTGGGTTGGTTCCATATCTTAGTTATGGTAAATAATGCTGTGATAAACATAGTTGTGCTGGTAGCTTTAGTGTGGTCTTGTTTGTGAGCATTTGGGTAAATGCCCAAAAGTGGGATTGCTGGGTCATATGGGAGCTCTATGTGGAGTTTTTTGAAGAGCCTCCATACTACTTTCCAAAGTGGTTGAACAGGTTTACACTCACACTAACAATGAAGTAAGGTTCCCTTCTGTCCACATCCCCTCCAGCATCTGTTGTTATTAGAGTTCTTGATTATAGCCATTATAACTGGGATAAGGTGGTATCTCAGTGTTGTTTTGATTTGCATTCCTTTTATGGCTAGGGAAGTTGAGCATTTCTTCATGTGTCTATTGGCCATCCTTCTTTCCTCTTCAGAGAAGTTTCTCTTTAAGTCTTTAGCCCACTTATTTATTGAGCATTTGATCTAATTTTTATTATTTCTTTCCCTCTACTAGTTTTGGGTTTGTCGTGTTTCTGTTTTCCTAGGAGCTTGAGGTGCGTCATCTGAGTATTGATTGGAGATGTCTAATTTGTTGGCCTTGGCACTCGTAGCTAGACACGTTATTCTGCCTTTGCCCTGTCCCAGAGGGGCTGACATTTCATGTGTTTGTTTATGTTGAATTCCAGAAACAGCAACACACTGATCACTCAGCAAGGTATTGTTCAGTTTCTGGGATTCTGAATATTTTCTGTGATGGCTTTTGTTGTTGAGCTACAATTTTATTCCACTGTGCTCTGACAGGATACAGGGAGTAATTTTGACTTCTTGAATTTGCAGAGATAAACCTGCCTTTAAAAATGTCCTATGGGTACATTTTATTTTTCCTCTCCCTCCCTGGCTCCACACGGCATGCCTGACCCCACCATTAACACCAAAACTAACGTAAGTGTAGTAGTTCCTGAGCTGACTGTACTGTTACAGGAGTTTCTTCACAATGCCAAAACTACTATTTTGAAACCACATTTTAGAAACGGAAGCTATAGCTCTTGAGATAGGACGAAGAAATCCACAGGCATAGTAGTTCAGAGGCTAGTAGGCTAATTATTGACATATTCATAGTAACTTTTAGAAATCAAGGCAAACCATTCTCACCATTCTGATGCTTCGCAATGCTGAGAAGGTAATACATTCCCGAGGATGCTTGCTGTGTGATTGACGGATCCGTGTGACAGCACAGGAGAGACAGCTCTGCCGCCAGGACTCCTAGACACGGAACATCAACACTCGTCTATTGGAGAAACAGAGGGGAAAACTGTATTTCCTGTGCACAGTCAACATTAAATGTCAATATTCGTCTTATCAAAACTGTATTTGAGGGTAGGCCTCATGGTTTTAAAAATCTATGCTTAAATCTTGTTTGTGTAATTCCAATTTGCTCACCTCTGACCTGGATATAAACAAATGCCATTTTGTAACATTTACTATGGGAATGGGAATGACAGAAAATTCCTAGAAAAAGTATCTGAAAACAATATAGTGATTCAATTAATGTTAGTTTCTATTCATTAGATCACTCTGTAATTTACAGGTAGCAAAATCCTTGGCTCTGGGGGGAGGAGAACAGATTGGTGTGTAGAGATCCAAAATTTCTGTCGTTCCACTTTTATGTCAAACTTTTTACATTAAGCTGTAAAATCAGTGACGTGCCATTTTTTTTCCTTTTAGAATTTATTCCCAAAGAAATCTAATTTTTTTTGTTGTGAAAATACCATACAGAAGGGTTACAATTACATGAGCAAGGTAATGAGTACATTTCTTATCAAGCATTGTTGCCCCCTCCTTTGTTTCCCCTTCCCATCCCTTCCCATCCCCCTTGCCCCCCCCACCTGATCCCCCCCACCAAAGTTGTAAAGTTCATTTTTCGACATAACGACTTGTACATCTCATTGTTGCAATGGGTCCACCTGTATCCCTATTTAAATGATTTGTTTTTTCCCTTCCCCTCCACAAATTATACCAACATCAAATACAGTGAAAGCAGGGGTTATACCGTGGGGGAGGGGAGAAATCTACTTTCTTAAGTGTGTGTGTGTGTATTGTAGGCCGGTGGGAAGCTTGTTTTTAATCCACTAAAACTTATTTATTGTCTTTTGTCTTTCCTCCATTACCTCCAGTGACAACCATTTATAAAGGACATAAATTTAAAAAGAAAGCTAACTTATGCCTAGTGCCAGTATCTATTATCCTAGCTATGGTTGGAAGTCAGTCCAGGCAGGAAAGTTCCTGAGACTTATCTCTCCAATTAACTACCAAAAAGCCAGAAGTGGAGCTGTGGCTTAAGTGGTAAACTAGCTTTGAACACAACTGCTTAGGGACAGCACCAGACCCTGAATTCAAACACACACACACACACACACACCCCTAACTTAGTGAAACTTGTACTACTTGACTAAGGTAAGTGGTAGGTTCTAGATTTGTTTCAATGTTTTTAAAAGTGCTCATGTACCGCCACCTGGTGGCATGTAGTGCCACATTGCAGAAGAGAGCAACAGGGTAACCCTAACCAACACGTAGGAAGCCTCCTGTTGCACACATGAACTTGCACACTTATTCTTTCATAGTTGAAACCCGGGCTATACTAGAATGATCCATATTGCAGCATACGATAGAGAGAAGGAAGGTGATTGAAGAGGAAACTGCAAACTATCTTCCCTGTTATCTGAGTTCAGCACATTAGAATATCAGTGCTATTTTTTTTTTGGTTGGTCGTGGGGCTTGAACTCTGGGCTTTGAGCACTGTCCCTCAGCTTTTCAGTTCAAGACAAGTGCTCTACCGCTTGAGCCAAAGCGCCACTTCTGGTTTTCTAGTGGTTTATTGGAGATAAAGAGTTTCACGGACTTTCCTGCCCAGGCTGGCTTTGAACCGCGATCCTCAGATCTCACCCTCCTGAGTCACTAGGATTTCAGGCGTGAGCCACTGGCACCAGGCAGTGTGCTCTAATTTTATTGTAGAGATCTTTTACCTTGTTATCTTTCACATAATACCTATTTCAATGCTCAAAAGAGAGAATTGAGGGGCTTGCATAAATCTTTTGACTTGTTAAAAGAATTTCTTTACTTCTAAAATGCCTTGAGATTCTGTACAAATAAATATCTGGAAGGTTTGTAGTACAAAATTTGTAAAAGAGAGACGAGATTAAGTGTAATTCACCACTAATGTATGTGAGTTCTGATAACTGTTTTCATTTTCACTTGATCCTAGCAAGTTTTTACTTCCCCGTTTATTTCTTCCATTTATTCTTCAAGAATGAATTAGTCTTCCATGTATTTCGTTATTTTTGTGCACTTTCTTTCATTAATGATATCTAGTTTTATTCCACTGTGGGCTGATAAGACACGGGAAATTATTTACATTTTCTTATTCTTGTTAAGACTTTCTGTATGTCCTCAGATACTATGTATTTCGGAGAAAGTGAGCAAATCCCGCAAAGTGCTAAGAAGAGCATGTCTTCTGCTGATGCTGGGTGGCATACTCTGTAGCTGTCTGTTACGTCTGTTAGTACAATACCATTATTTTAATCTGATGTTTATTTGCTGACTTTTTGAGTGGATGTTCTATTGGTGAGAGTGGGGTGTTAAAATCCTCCACTACTATTGTATTGGAGTATATCCGTGTTTTTACATCTAGTAGTGTTTACCTACTAGAATCCTGCACTGACAGTTGCCATATGGTTATAATTGTTATCTCTATTGATTGTTCTGTTTATTGATATGAAGTGACTATCTTTTCTGATTTTGATCTGCTTGACTAAGCCTATGTTTGTCTTTGCCAGTCAGGTGCATTTCTTGTGGGTAACAAATGGCCAGGTCTTTTTTTGTAATTCAACCCACCAGTTTCTGTCTTACTTAGAGGATGGAGACCATTAACATTCAGGTTTGTTAAAGTTATGCACTTCATGATATTTTGTTGGTTTCATAGTGTTTTTCTTTAATCTTTGCTTATCTACTTACACAGGGATATTTATTTGTTTCTGTATGTTGTGGTTCTTTTCTGTGTGTGGGATTCCTTTACTGGTTTAGTCTTCATAATTACTTTAGTTGTATCATGGGAATTTTTTTCATTTGTCCTTCAATTATAAAAGACAGCATTGCTGGAAATGGCAATCCAAGTTGGCAGTTAGTTTCTTGCTAGGCTTGAAATACTTTATTCCACGCCCTTTATGCTTTCAAAGTTTGTTTTCAGAATCTGCTATTATTCTGATAGGTTGCATTTATAGGCGACTTTCTGCTTTTCCTTCCAGCTTTCACTCTTCTTCCCCTGTTTGGTAAGCCTAATGTTTAAATGATATGACATGGAGAGTTCCTCTTAGTCTTGTCTACTTGTACCCCTAAAAGTGTCCTATATGTGATTAACATTAAGAAAGTGTGTTTGGCAGGGTCCTGTTGCCTTGGTTTTGAATGTCTGACCATTTTGCACCTGAGGCTGAGTAGTTGGCTCAACATTGTAAGCACCTGCTCTCTGCAGTGACATATTCTCGGTGGTCAGGAAGGACGATGTAGTGGTGGGACTGGGGTGCTATCTCTCATCACTGCACTGGAGAGATGACTCAGGAGCCAAGAATTAGCTCTTGTCTCCAGAGCACCAGGCCTGGTCCCCAACACTGCTACAATCAGGCTAACCAGACAGGAGAGTCTTTTGTAGAAGTCTGTGATCAGCTCCTGACGTGCTTTCATAAACAAGCTTTCTCGTCTGTGGGGTGGGTAGACAGGTTCCCAGAGACAGCTAACATCCGAGCCTGGGCTGACCTCCACATGCATCTGGGAGTGAGTGGGAGCAGAGACAGAGCCCTGAGTTCTGAACTGACTGTTGGAGCACTAGGGATGGATTATTTCAGTCTTCTTCCAGGAGAAGCCTGTGATTCGGGAGGTTGGATTCAGGGTCCACGGGGCCCCGGTGGAAGTCATGTGAGTTGGGCCTTTACACTTGTCACGAGCACACACTGGTGTGTGTGCACTCTTGGTGCCCTTTGACCTGGCCAGCGGTGTGCTCCCCTGAAGTCATGTGACTGGCAGCGCTGAGCTGGGGCCTTAGCCTCTGTTAGCAGCCAGGAGGCTGGCCTTGGAGTCTGGGAAACCCGCGGCTCCCAGGCTTTGCCTCCATCCTGACCCCAGGACGGTGGGACGGGTGGCCCATCTGGGAGAGGGGGCCTCGGTCCTCTGCACACGTCACGGATCGACATCCCCACGGCCTGGGCTTCTTCGTGGGACCTGCGGCGCAGACTCCTTCCCTCTCCCAGTCACCTCGTCCAGGCTGAGCGGTGGGTCCTCAGACTCGCGGCAGCCGATGCTCCTGGTTCTCAAGTCTTCAGTCCCAGGCGCTGTCTTGCCATGACTCTCCATGCCCAGGGATGGAGCCGGCCATCAGGCTAGCCTCCACAGCACAGCAGCATCTCCACGTGCCTCCAGGGCGCAGCAGCGCCTCCATGCATCTCCAGGGCACAGCAGCGCCTCCGCGCGTCTCCATGCGCCTCCACAGCACAGCAGCATCTCCACGCATCTCCAAGGTGCAGCAGCGCCCCACGAGCCTCCACGCGTCTCCCTAGTGCAGCAGCGCCTCCACGCGTCTCCACCGCACAGCAGTGTCTCCAGGGCGCAGCAGCGCCTCCACGCATCTCCGCGCTCTCCAGGGCGCAGCAGCAGTGCCTCCGCGCGTCTCCACGGCACAGCAGCATCTCCAGGGCGCAGCAGCGCCTCCACGCATCTCCATGCGCCCCCACAGCACAGCAGCATCTCCACGCATCTCCAAGGCGCAGCAGCGTCCCCACGAGCCTCCACGCGTCTCCCTAGTGCAGCAGCGGCTCCATGAATCTCCACGGCACAGCAGCATCTCCAGGGTGCAGCAGCAGTGCCTCCACGCGTCTCCCTAGTGCAGCAGCGGCTCCATGAGTCTCCACGGCACAGCAGCACCTCCACGCATCTCCACGCATCTCCAGGGTACAGCAGCGCCTCCACGGCACAGCAGCATCTCCAGGGCGCAGCAGCGCCTCCATGCTTCTCCGCGCTCTCCAGGGCGCAGCAGCGCCTCCATGCTTCTCCGCGCTCTCCAGGGCGCAGCAGC